CCACACAGTACACGTATCGGTATAATGCTCCAGCTTTTTCTCGCTGTTTTCCAGGCCCTCTCTTTGCTCTCCCTTCCATGTTAACTCTTCATTAGGGCTCCTGCTATGATAACTTTAGCTTTCTATGAAACATGTCAGTTACTCCATTAGCTCTCAGCGCACAGGGTTAAAATATCAAGATATGGAAAGATTCCAACCATTTCAGTTACCCCGGACTCACTATTAGCTCTCAGCGCACAGTGTGCACAGGGTTAAAATATCAAGATATGGAAAGATTCCAACCATTTCAGTTACTCCTGACTCACTATTGGCTCTCAGCGCACAGTGTGCACAGGGTTAAAATATCAAGATATGGAAAGATTCCAACCATTTCAGTTACTCCGGACTCACTATTAGCTCTCAGCGCACAGTGTGCACAGGGTTAAAATATCAAGATATGGAAAGATTCCAACCATTTCAGTTACTCCGGACTCACTATTAGCTCTCAGCGCACAGTGTGCACAGGGTTAAAATATCAAGATATGGAAAGATTCCAACCACTTCAGTTACTCCGGACTCACTATTAGCTCTCAGCACACAGTGTGCACAGGGTTAAAATATCAAGATATGGAAAGATTCCAACCATTTCAGTTACTCCTGACTCACTATTAGCTCTCAGCGCACAGTGTGCACAGGGTTAAAATATCAAGATATGGAAAGATTCCAACCACTTCAGTTACTCTGGACTCACTATTAGCTCTCAGCACACAGTGTGCACAGGGTTAAAATATCAAGATATGGAAAGATTCCAACCATTTCAGTTACTCCGGACTTACTATTAGCTCTCAGCGCACAGTGTGCACAGGGTTAAAATATCAAGATATGGAAAGATTCCCACCACTTCAGTTACTCCGGACTCACTATTAGCTCTCAGCGCACACAGGGTTAAAATATCAAGATATGGAAAGATTCCAACCACTTCAGTTACTCCGGACTCACTATTGGCTCTCAGCGCACAGTGTGCACAGGGTTAAAATATCAAGATATGGAAAGATTCCAACCACTTCAGTTACTCCGGACTCACTATTAGCTCTCAGCGCACAGTGTACACAGGGTTAAAATATCAAGATATGGAAAGATTCCAACCACTTCAGTTACTCCGGACTCACTATTAGCTCTCAGCGCACAGTGTGCACAGGGTTAAAGCAGCAGGACACTAATAGACATCTTATTACCTTTGCAGCTGGCTATATAATCAATCTGCAGTGGTAATATGGAGCCAAGAAATAGCTGACATGGTTAGCAGAATTAGCAAAGATTGTATATTAAAACAGATTAAAATCAGATTAGTCCTCAGAGTCACAGCCCCAGTCCTACAGTTTGAACTAGTCACAGCAAGAGTGTCTCAGCTGTAGCATTACTAAGCACTTTAAATAAGATGGTGGGTATGTGCAACAGGAGTAAGTGGTAGACAGCACAGTGCTCTGTGTCAGAAACGCCCCACCCCTGCCCTTGATTAATCAGTCCTCTGGCAGTCACTGGGGCTATTAGGGGAGAGAAAACAATACTATTATGCACTTACATTTGGTAGGGGAACAGCTACTGCTTTGCTTTCTGTGTGTTACTTCCAAGGTTGCTTCTCTCTCCCAAGGCACTGTAATTCCACCCCTTGGTGCTATGAGCAGAGAGGCCAATAGCATGCCTCCACTCATGGGAAGTTGGCTCTGCTACCCAAATGGCAACTCAATGGAAATTCTTGAAATTCCTTCTTAAGAGACAGTAGTCATGTGCAAACTTGGAAAACATTGCACATGCGCAACAAAACGATGCACCAACCAGCATCTCCTCATAGAGATGCATTGAATCTCTGCCTTCATGCAGAGCACACTGTCCCAGGAAGCACCTCTAGTGGCCGTCTGAGTGACTGCCACTAGAGGCGTTACTAGGCAGCAATGTAAACACTGCCTTTTCTTAGAAAAGGCTGTGTTTATACTAAAAAGCCTTCAGGGAAACTCTAAAGACCCCAGAACCACTACACTATGTTATATTATTTCTGGTGACTGTAGTATCCCTTAGATGACAGAGGGTAGAATCGGGATATAATGGGAATATGTTAAGACAGATGCAGCAAAACCATAAAGGGAGACTTCCAGCTGTTTCATAGAAAATCGTTCCTAAGCAAAATTGGGTTCTTATGTTTAATCAATGGGCAGATCTAAATATAGTAATAAAATCTCAGCTTAGAGGGGGGAAAAAATAAACCCAGATCATTTTTTAGCAACATCTGCCAAATGCACCGGTTTGTGCCAGAAAATCTTTACTTTGCAAAGAAAACGAAAAATACCACCATTTGTATAGCTATGTTCATTCCTATATTGTGGTTTTGCCGTTCCTAGACCCAGATGTGCCTGAAATGTGTTCACTGCTAATCCTAGTCAATATGCCAATGGGAAAATGGAGATGTAAAACAGTCTGGTCTGTGACCCAGCTAATGGGTCATGTATTTTTAGTGCCCGTTGATTTGATTAGGTACATTTTTATCATCATGTATATAACTCCAACATATTCTTACAATGTAGGAGAATTCGAAGTTGGTGGATATATCGTTAGGTGTCTTGCCCAGGACACTTACTGTTAAGATAGTCTGTCCTGGGATTCCCAGTTCCAAGGCTTTGACATTGCCACCACTCTAACCAGCTACATTGTCATCACAATCCAGGTAACTGCTCTCAATAAATTGTCTATTGTAGTCACACTGCGACAGGCCACTCAGATATTAAGAAGAGATTGCTGAAGGTGTTTAGCTGAAGTCACATACATACACATATATATATATATATATATATATATATATACATATAGATCCACATATCTATCAGTGATCCACAAACCAGTCTTCAGAGCACATCAATATATTAGCACAGGGAGTTGCCAATCTTGGCACTCCAAATGTTGTGGACTATATCTCCCATAATCCTCTTGCAGCCATGATATTGCCAAAACATCATGAGAAATGTAATCCACAACATCTCAAATGCCGAAGCCTGGAGACCCCTGATTTTGGATTTCAAGAGACACTCTAGAACCAAAAAGCATCCCTGTTCGCCGTTTGGTAAAAAGGTCAGTTTACTTTATTATTTTCACTTGGAGATTGGCAGAGATGGGGGTGTAGGTAGCTTGGCATAGAGTTAAAGGAAAACTCCAAAGTTAAAATTGAATATAGTTTATTACATTTTTTTTGTTTCGTTTATTTTTACACATTCAAGTTTTTCTTTAAACATTTCCCAATGCTGTTCGTCTGAGGACAATGACAAAACGTGGACTGTTGATGTATCTTGAGTGCACCTTCTAGTGGTATATGGATTTAATTTTGTATTCTCAATATTTTTTTGTGTTTCTGTTATGTTAAATCATGTTTCATATTTTGAATATTATATTCCTGTTATAGTTCATGTACTCTATGAATGGTCTATTATATTCAATTCTGTTTGTTCAATAAAAATTTTTTTAAATACAGACACAAACAAAAAAAAGTTGAGATATACAGGATGATTGACAAAGTATGAATTGGCCATAATCCAAAAATAATTTAAAATTTTAGGCCACCATAGCCAAAACAGAAATATTTTGAACTCTGTGTCTACTTTGAAAATTAACTTTTAATTTTTGATAATTGACACTTTAACAAAGGTCTGCATGGCAATGCATTAAGGCATATACAGTGACATCTAGTGGACTTCAGTAAAAATACAACTGTAGTCAACAACCAAGAATTGCAATGTATAAATTCTCAACCCAGATTTAATCTGGGTTTAAATATTCCAAATCCAAAAGTCTACACTCTAGTAGTACACTATTGTCACACTCTAGATTGGATAAAAGGATCTACACATGGAGGCATGCTCTGAGTTGCGACATACACAATGTGCTTCCCTTCCAGAATTGCATGAAATCCTTTATTGCATCCTCCATCAAATTGTGGAAATTGGTGAGACAGCTCCGAGGGCTCCAGTGGCAATACACCAGATTTATTATTGTGTAACCCACACTTTCAGGATGAGGAAGTCTAATGTCCATGCTTTTCTTGTCATACCAATATAAATGATTTCCTGGATGAACACAATCAGTCCCAAATTTCCCTTTTTCACATACCTACAACCACTTGCCAATAGGGTTGGGCATGTCACAGTGGATAACATATTTCCCAATTCACCAGATTCTCAAAGCAACAACTGTCAAACTGCTCAAAATACCCCCATCAGCTTGAGGATCGCACATCATGCTTACTAGTCTTCTTAAAACCTAATCTCTCTAAAATTAAGGGACTCTGCTAGCAGTCTGAAAAGTGGGACCAACTGAGCAGACCCGTATCACTGTTTCTGGGGAGGTGTGGGGATTAAGAAATTCTGGAGACAAGAAAAAATAAATGTAACTAGACTATTGGGTAGATCATTTTGTATTTCTCCGTTACTAGCAACTTTATGGGTAACAACGGAAGAGTCAAGTCATGTTTCTCAACTTGGCTGCGGCATGTATAAATATATATAGCACCACTGGATCAGTCCCTAGAGTAGACTAGAGTGTATGATGTTGGAAAAATAAGTGGTAATTATGTTAAATATGCACAATGTAAAATCATAGCTACTATAAGTCAGATTTAGGTAATCAAAAGAGGAGAAACTCGTTTTCATTGGTGGATTTCAGTGCTGGCTGCGCATTTACTATTCGTCCCCAAACCTCCTTTTTGAAGAACATTGAGATGGGACGTTTAGAAGTGTCTTCGTGAAGTTGCATCAAGCAGCTGCAGGGACCCATAATATAAACTGGAATAAAAGTTATTACTTATCTTTTTTTCTCTGAGCATGGAGATAGATTTATGGGGGGGAGAGATAGATTTAGAGAACACTATAGCATTGGAAAATTAAGGTTTATCCTCCAAACATTATAGTGTTCCTTTAAGGCCACTGTATCAGTAATCATCAGAGCCTGCAGCGAAGCAATGCATAGGATTGTAGACCCACAGTGACAAACTAGTTACCTACCTATGTGTATAATGTTAAGGGACAGCCAAGGATATAAAAGGTAACCTTACCAAGAGAGGTTAATGAGAAAATGCATCCCTCTACCTACATCTCCACTATCTTCTGTCAAGCATGGCCATTGGCATGATATTAAACACCTCCACTTATTTAAATGTGCTTAGGGATTTAGGATAGGGTGAAGGTAACTTTTTTTTTTGTGCAAATATTTTAAAAGGAATCTCAGCCAGGACTTTAGAAGTGTGAACTAACTAAACCCTTTCTATAATTAGCTACATTAGTTAAGAATTAAGATATAATATTCTGAAACACAATGTCATTGGGGGGGAAAAAAAAATAACATGGTTTTATGAAGAAACTAACTTAATTCATTCTTTGAAAAGTAAAAAACATGGGGATGCGATTTGAGTTTTGCCAAATCATTTGATGCGATTTCTTCAAAAGCAAAGCAGTGTATGCAGATAGCACAAAGGTGATGTAAACAGTGCATCAGTGATCTACAGTTATATGGATATATTGGAGACAGTCCAATGGACAGATATGATATTCATAGTTATTCATTAAAATGACAATTGCTATATTATCATCACTAGAATCTGTTCAACCCTTGGGGGTCGCAGGTTCAAATCCTGGCAGGGTTTACTCAGTCCTTCATCCTTCCGAGGTAGATAAAATTGGGTAAATCGGAACTTCCCCTAGAGATGTTGGGCAAAGGTAACAGCCCCAGAGCATACTTGAAAACCAGAGTAATCTGAATGTACATTTCCTGGTTAAATACTTTATTATTTAATGTGAATTTCCAATTTAAGGTCGAATGTAGGCAACTGAAATTTTTTTTTACATTTTTTTTTACATTTGGCTATTTTTCCCCAAAAATATAGTTTTCATAAGCTTTTAGAACAATGTATGTATTTTATTCTGAAAGGACCTATCTTTTCTCCTTCTCTTCACTGGGAAGTGAAAAAAAGATGAGTTAATGTAACGAATATAGATCAAGGTGAGATAAGGTGAAGGGAAAAGTAAATGTGCAGATAAAATGAAGAGAAATAGATTTTAATCTTGGTTTATTTTTTTGTCTGGATGCATTGATAAAATGTACATATAATTAAAAAAAAAAGTTAAATTGTAAGTGTGCTATCAAAAACAAAAGAAAGAAAATATAATTTTTTTTCCCTTTATAATTCAATAGTAAGACCCACCTTTAATATGTGTTGCAATCGTGGGCATCTGTTAAAAGAAAGAAAAACAAAAAACAGAAGTGGAAAAAGTGCAGAAAAAAAAAAAAAGGAGGAATGGAAGATTTAAATTATCTGGATAGAAGAGAAATGTAATTACTTTAGAAAAATGTAAGGGGGATATGATTCATTTTTATTCAAACATAATGCAGTGTCAAACTGTACAAAGGAAAAGCGGTCACACAATTTAGACATATAAACAGCTCTATACAAGAACCACTGTGATGTGAAATTTCTCTATATACCTATACGGCATAGATCATAATGTGAAATCATCTGCAATTTTTGACTAAATTGGTGGTTTTATAATTTATTTTGAGAGATTTTTAGAGGAAAATAAAATAAAGTAATTCCAAAAAATGTAAGGATGTAATTATCACTATGTAGAGAAACACCTAGGTCAGGCATAGGCAACCTTCGGCACTCCAGATATTTTGAACTACACCTCCCGTGATGCTTTGCCAGCATTACGTGTGTAAGAGCATTATGGGGGATGTAGTCCCCACCATATGGAGTGCCAAAGGTTGCCTATCCTTGACCTAAGTGAACCAATGATAAATATGCCTGAATGTTTGAGTTTTTCCCTCATTAGATATTTACTCTTACTGGGTTATCACTTCTGGCTTTTGGATCAAAAGCAATATATAAATGTGGAATGTAGAACCTTATGGACAAGAGCCCCAGACCTCAACATATATTACTATGGCAGCAACCCTTGAGGGAGCCAAACCAGTTTATTGTTGCCACTGTTTAATTAGAGCTTGTACAGTATCAGCCCACTGCTGTGAAGAGCTATCATTTAGTGACAAAAAGATTACAAGTGTATTTTTGCCACCATCCATTACAGATTTTCCAGATATTTTGGCATCGTCATACAATTTGTCTGGAATTATTAAACATTCATTTAAGTCTGGAAAAAAAGTGTTTCTTTACCAGGTGATCTCCCACACACATAAGACCTTTTCTATTTGACTTCTGGAGCTCTGCCCGAGGGGTGATGAACTGTGAAGCACCCAGAATTTCCATCTCCTGTCTACATGGGTCTACTACATTTGCTTGATTTATAAGAGTCATGGTGGAATCTTACTGTAAACTTTGGTACTCAAACAAAACTCAGAAAACAGGTCAGTAGAAAATGTGTTCTATGTTTCTCCGATAGAAATGTTTTATTTTTTTTATAATTTTAGCCATCCATTGGTGAATTTTAAACTTTTCAGTGCTCGAGAGCAGGGATAGAAAAAAACATATAAAAAATACCGACAACACTGTGCAGCTATAGTGAATTTTGTCTCTTATTGAGGACATCAAAGAATGTTACATTAAGTCAAATATTATCCTACAGATTTTGTATGCATTAATCTCGGAACAGTGGACCCAATGTAATTCAACCCTCTGAGCTACAAGATGGCTACAAAAAGCATATTAACAAACTAAACTATTTTATGTTACGACAATATTTTACATCTCTTAATTCACAATTATTCTTCGAGAGTTGTGTATACGTACAGTTTGAGACGTATGTTGCAAGTGTTCTCCATCTTAAATTTTCTAGTGTCTACATCAAGGCAACACATTTCACTTTTTATCTGAATACATGTCTCAAAACTTAAAATTTAGAGTTAAACAAAACACATCAATTTTCTGTTATGTTTTCATCAATGCTATAAATACTAACTGCACCAACTGTTAATTGCTCTGGAGTGTAATTTCATCAATAGTGCAGTGACAAGCCATCTGAATTATGCTTCATTCTACATTTTACCTTTCAGTCATAGGTCAATAATTATAACAATGAGACTGTTCCTTTTTCAATAGGGCATTAGGGTCATATATATATTATTTAATAAAAGTCTTGGACACGTCACACAAGTCATGAGTTTTATAGTCTTCAGGACTTTTATATTGACCTCTGCTTTGGAAAGACCTTTTTATGCAATGTAATTAGTTTAGCTTTAACCATGATCAATTCCGTGTAGGAATCATTAAAATGTTTTCCATTAAAAAAATATAAACATTTAAATGTTTTTTTTTTAAATCATATTTTTTTTTGTCCCTAATACGTACAAAAACACACACACACACACTACATTATATCAAGGGCACACATGAGCAACTTAATACTAACTGGACATCATTTAAAGGTCAGTCTAGTCAAATTTTGTTGCTGACCATGTGCATCCCTTTATCGCCACAGTCTACCCATCTTATAATTAGTATTTCCAAAATGAGCACATTCCCTGTCAAAATGTACATATCACCTCAAGCTGCTTACCTGAAAATGACAAATCAGGGTTATTCAACAAATTCCAAAATGTTCATAAATTGAATTTAAAAAAAATTCTGAGTTTATTGAATAACCCTCCATGTACTTCAATGGTGTCCACAGTCACCACATCTCAACTCTACAGCACCTCTGACAGGTATTGAAATTGGAGATGTGCTTCTTGAACCCGTAGCGGTTATATATGTAATAACCGTCTAATGCCATCATGTCAACATAGAATCTCAAGAAATGTTTCCAGCTCCTTTGAATTCATACCTTTAGCCATTCATGCTGTTTTAGGGTACTGTTTTCTAATATCTAGTATTGGGTATTACAAAAGTCTACCCAACAAAATGGCCACTGGAACAAAACAAAACAAAAATGGCCACTGGGAAAAAATAAATAAAAATCAAACACCCTACATCTTTTATTGTAATTGTTTGAATAGTCTGAATATTGAATATGTTCAATTCTGAAAAAAGAATAAATCTTTCTTTGAAAAAAGGGGATCCCAAGTCAAAAGACTATGGGTAACGATTCTCAAAAAAAATTAAAAAAAAAGTCAGATTGGCCACATATAACATGTATAATCCACTATAATTGGTAATAAACAAAAAATTTAAATATAAGCTTTATTAGTATTTAATGGGCATATCTACATAATAGCAAAAAAGAAAAAAATGCAAAGTGAAAAACAAAGGTGATTTGAGAAAAGTGTAATATTAAAAAGGAGAAACCTCGGGGGTCTGCCTATCTGGCCTGTATATATCAATCACAGCAAGCGTGAGGAAATATACTAATTCTTGATCAACCCAAGTAGAAAGATAGTATCAAGAAAGACAACTGTTTAGTAATAAAATGTTATTCCAAGTGGAAGACTAAAAATAGCAACAGTCTATGGGGATCGGAAGAATAAAGCTTCGCATTTAGATTCAAAACTATATATATATCTATAGATATATAGATATATATGATATATTTCGAAAATTAGCGATATTGGAAATATTAGAAATATTGGAAGTATTAGCGATATTGAAAAAGGTGAATAAACGGTATGGCTAGATACAATGACAGAGATAATGGAAGTAAACTTGTATATTAGTAGAGTCTGATTATAAGAAACAGGGAGGGTAGGTGTATAGAGTGTTAATTCGCCACCCCCTCCTTAATAATTAGACCATGAGCATGATGGCAGAGCCATCCTGGAGGAGGACACCATTATAGGCGATATTTATTTTATTAGAGTTTCCTAGGGGCTCTGCTATCATGCACTTTGCCAGGATAGTAAGCTTAGCTTCTTTATTTTAGAGCTGCCTCGAAGCAGCGAGAGAGATTTGGGGTGTGTTAGGATCTGTGTGGGATTGATTCTGATTTTATTTTGTTGGGATTTACCTTAAGCACCCTGGGTTTGAGAGTAAGGTTTATGGATTAGGACCTTTTAGAAAGGTATCCCAATAGGGAGTCTATGGCGTATGCTTTAACCCTGGTTTAGATGCCTTCAGACGCAGTATTTACCTAGGTCAACTACCTGGACTAATCCCAGAAACCGCTCATATATATTTATTTTCATCCAGCCCTTCTCGATGACTGCTGTTTTGCTTTATCTTTTTCTTTGCAACCATAATCAGGGTTGTGGTCAGTGGTGGGGAAGGGGGTAGGTAATTATGGCTATGAACTCCTACCCTCCTGTTTTCCCCCTGTAAATCCCATATTCACCCTCGTTTAAGTGGAGTTTGGTCTAATTATGGAGGTGGCGAATTAACACTCTATACACC